CTCTTGATTGGGGAGTAGATGAGGAAGATGGGCAACAAAAACTTAACCCGGGTACTGGAGGGTTAATGGGTAAATACGATATTAAGAAAGATCGGAAAGAATTGGCTAAAATGATTGTTTTAGGTTGTTCACCTTTTAGTTTTGCTGCTTCACCATATCTTGTTACTTATATTCAAAGAATTTATAACCCTTTGTTTAAAGGTATTCCTAGAAGTACTTGTAGAGCTGATATCTTTAGGCTCTTTGGACAATATCAAACATATATACGTTATTTGTTCGCCAGTCTTTCTTGTAGAATTTCTCTTACTTCTGATATTGGTTGTGCTGTAAATGGTAATGATTATTTGACTGTTACATGCCACTGGATAGATGGTAATTTTTGTATGCAAAAACGTATTATTGCTTTTAAATATGATGAAGATCAAAGTCATACTGGTGCATTTATAAGTAATACTATCCATGAAGTTGCTATATTTTATAATCTTGCAGAAAAAGTTTTGTGTGTGTCATTTGATAATGCTTCTAACAACAATGCTGCTATTACAATATTAAAATTGCATCTACACCCACCACTTCCTGAAATATTTCATGTTAGATGTGCATGTCATATTTATAATTTGATTGTGAAGAGTGGCCTTGAATTATTTAGAGATGATATCACTTTAGTTAGAAGAGTTGTTGGTGTAATTCAAGGAAATAATAGAAGTGCTAGATTAAATGCATTTAAAGAAAAATGTGTACACTATGGACTAAAACCAAGATTCATGCCTGAAGAAATAGTTACTAAGTGGGATTATACTTATTTATTCTTAAAATGTTGTTATAAATATAGAATGCCTATAACTGAAGTTGCTAATTCTCATTGTACCGATCCTAGCCATTTGTTAACATCTAAAACTTGGGGTGTCATTGAAGATGTTGTAAAGTTTTTACAAAAAAATTATGTGGCTACACTTGAGTTTTCTGGAACTTATTATCCTACTATTGCAAATGGTTTACTTCATATTGCTGAAATTTCTCTTTTACTACATAATTTGAAGAAGAAAGAAGGATATACTTCTGTTGTTGAATCTATGCTAGATAAGTTTAAAAAATATTTTTACCCAATTCCCTCTATTTATCTAATTGGAGCTATTTTAAACTCTTCTATCAAAATGGCCACTTGTCGCCAATTAATCACTGTTTTATATTCTTATATGGATATTGGACCAACTGAAACTCCTGATATTGAAACTTGTATTTCTGATCTACACAAACATTTAGAAACATTATATAATTATTATGCTAACATTGTTGATGCTTCTTCTGTTGTAGATGCAAATATTCCTTCAAGTTCAGTTTCAACATGTTGGACCAGTGCTTTGGATGATAATGATGGTGTTAAAGATTATTTTATTGTCTACAATAGGGGAGCATCAACAAACCAGTAGCAGGAATATTGATGAACTTCAATTCTACTTGCAAAAGTCAGCAGAGCTCCGCACAAAGTAATTTCTACCACTGGGTTGGTGGAGAGAGCAACTCAAATCAATTTCAAATTCTTTCGGCCATGGCTCGAGACGTGCTAAATGTGCCGATTTCAACAATCGCATCGGAGAGCACATTTAGCCAAGTAAGGTGGCAACTAGGAGATACCCGTCATTCATTGGGTAGCAATGCTTTGGAAATTCTAGTGTGCTTCAGAGATTGGATAAGATCAGAACGACGAAATCAAGGGCGTGACGAGGTAGATGAAGCGGAGGACTAAGAAATTGGAAATATAATGGTTTATGGTTCTGATTCAACCAATGACGGAAACCAAGAACCTCATGTTGACATGGATGAACTTACAAAAATGATGCAAAGCATGTGATGTACTTTTTTTTAATTTTTTTTATTTATAATTGTTGTAAACTTTTAATTTGCAAGTTTAAAAATAACAAAATAAAAAAAAACTTGCAACTTAATTTGAAGTATTATATATTATTCAATAAAAATATCAAATGAAAATTTTCGGAGCTTGATCATTACATATTGCCTATTAGTCTTATTAAGTAATTTTTTGTAGCCACTTACTTTCAAATTTTAATTTTAAAATTATAAAATTCAAATTTAAAATTTTAAACTTCAAAGTTTAATTCTAAGCCTTAAAAGTTTGCAAACACTTAAGTATCAATAACATTGAATAAGAAAAATAAAATTTACTTAAAAAAAAATAAAAAAATCCACGGCCCGCTAACAACCCACTAAGTCCGAACCCGGACGGACAAAAAAAATTCAAAAAAGTACAGTCCGCTAACAGCCTGCGACGTTAAACGGACGGGCTATTTTTTTTGTGTCCAGCCCGTCCCAGCCCGCCCGTTAAACACCCATAATTCCAACCGACGAGGCCGGACTTCATCTTAATACTTCAATGGGATCTTTGATCATAGAGCTAAAACTGAAAGAAGTCCAAATAAGTTTGGCGGAAATCTAATTTCAAGGAGTTTTACATAGCATCAAGTGCGACCCGAAAAAATAAAAAATAAACAGTAAAGAGTATCAAGTCAAAAAAAGAGAGAGAATAGTGTAGCTTTGAAAGTCACGAAAAAAAAAAATACACAAAAATAATGTCACGGTAAATATAACAAAGAAAAAGAACAAAGCACCAAAGACATAGTAATTAATAAGAATAAAAAGAGCAACAAGAACACTAAAACTTTAATATGGAAGAATCTTCTCATGTTAATATAAATATTTAACTTATAGAAATAAAAGAAGAAGTCAAGCTCTTATTTAATAAATAACAAAAATAGTATCATCAAAGATTATGGCCCAGTGATTTTATACAAGTTTTTCACGGAATAGGTGTTTATTTCATTGTTACATATAATTTTTTCTTCTTTATTTAATCAGTTATATAACACATCAACTATGCCACAATGGCAGACAAATTGATGTTGGCTAATACTCACACACGAACCATTCCATTTAAATTTGCCTAACTTTGAAAAGTAAGAATAGAAAGAGTATTTATCAAAACCTCTCATTTCAATATTGACACATATCCGTTCACCCAAAATCTTTGAGTTTTTACTCCAAATCCCAAAATACCCAAATCGTTGAATTGGAAATTGCCTCGCCCCACAAACCATTGTCACTCCCCTTAAAATCCTGAACCAAATGTGCGCACTACGAGTGCCGACCATGGCTGCCAGTGGCTTAGCCTCACTTCCGATTCTCAGAAGAGTACTTCCTTCACTCCAATCTTCTCGTCCCACTCATGCCGTCAAAGAGATCTTTTACGATAGAACCCTTATCCTACTAACACCTCTGCGCTCCTCAGGTCTGCAAACTTCTCTTTATCCTCATTCCTCCGTTTCTTCTCGTGATTTTTGTGTCAATTTGTATCATTGTAGTGCAATTTTAGTTGAATAGTTACTCATTAAAACAAAATTGTTGAATAGTTGAGTGTAATGTGAATTCCTGATTACTATCCATCATTGGAGCTGAACAAAATAGCGTTGCTTATAATATAGCTTCAGAAAATCTTTTTCTTCATCTGCGTGTTTTTCAAATTTGGATGATCAAAAAGTTGGAACGATCCATAAAAAGAACTCGGCCCCAGGCTAAGCCATCTCACCATAATGCCATGTAGATCGACTTGCTAGCATTTTGTTAATCCTAACCAAGGGAACTCGTTCCAAGGGTGACTATCTAATTGACCAAGCCAACAGTACGACCATAGTCCTATACCGGCACGTGTAACTTCGGGTATTGGCTCCTTTTGACCAATACCTTCTCGGTAACATAATAAAAATCCCAAAAACATTGCACTACATTCGGCACCTTTGGCCCTTTCTTAAAAACATTGGCACTTTTGGCGCTTAAACATAATCTTTAAAATAGGCTCAATAGCCACATACATTCTCTTTTTGTTTCATAGCCATTGGCATTTTATCATTTGAAAGCTATAAAGTCATATACATGTTCATGGAAAAGCTTTACAATCATGCTCATTTTACGTTTAAAACTTGAAACATTCTTGGCATTGTCATTTTCATTTGAAAACCCTTTTCATCAATGTTCATTTGAAGGCTTGAAAACACTTAAAATCACAACACTTTATGAGTCATCGCGTTTGAGCATTTTCATTTCAAAACATATGAACAACAACAACGACAAACCTAGTGTAATTCCACAAATGAGGTCCGGGGACGATAATGTGTACGCAGACCTTACCCCTACTTTGTGAAGGTAGAGAGTTTCCAATAGACCCTCGGCTCAAGGAACATTTCAAAACATATGCATAATTACTTGTCCCACACAATCATACCTTCTATACCTTGGGTATGCCCTTGTAGTCGTTAATGCTAGCTCCAATTATCTAAGAACGAGCCAATCGACACTAACAATTTGAATCTACACTTATGAATTCACATTCATCAACATCATATCACAACAACGCCCATTCAATCAACTAAGTGTTCAATACTTATGCGTACTTCTCAAAGATTCAAGAGAAATCCACATTCTTCCTTTGGATGTCGATTCTCGTGTTTTAACTCCAAGCCGTACATTAAATGCCTTATGGAATCTAGTAACTTCATTAGAAACTCAAAATGATACAATATCACCCCATCACTACTCATTGTCTTCTCTACCCAAAAATCCATTTCCAAGACCCATTTCTAGTGTTCCAACAATCTCTACGTTAAACTCCAATTTTATTCCATAAACATGTTCTATAAGCTTATTAGAACACAATATATAACAATGGAGTAGCGACGGGGTTACCTTGTTTTAGACAAATCTTGAAATTTCCCAATTTTGAAGATTCTCGAGGAAGATGAAGATTCTGGACAAAATCCACATTTGGATGTTATAATTCATGTTAACAAACATAATCTATCATAAATCAACCATTTCCAACTAACCTTGATGTTTGGAAGGAGACTTGGAGTGAAAAACCTATCAAGGAACCATGCCCTAGCTGAAAATATGAAGGGTGGCCGAAATGGCCCTTTTATAGAAGAGTCTGAATGCTACAGCATTCAATTTTTGGATGCTGCAGCATTGCCTCGAAAATATTTTCTTCCGGGAATAGTAGAGAGTGCTGCAGCATTCGATTCTTGATGCTGCAGCATTGCCTTAAAATTTTCTTTCGTCTCTTTTTGTGATTTTCTGCCCAAGCGACTTATTTTCAAATATCGTAATACACTTCATACCACCATGCCCGTATAATATTTTCCTCATCCGGGGTTAGCCTTGGGGCGCAAAACGTTATCTCAAATCGTTGTTGGCGTACGTTGAAGTCTTAGAACCTTACGAATTTTTTACGAGGCTTTACATAATGTGACACTCTTCCTGTTTGAGACGTAGAAAATGTTTGAAACAATTCTATTTCTATATAACTTTCACAATTATCAACAATTTAAATTCATTAAACTATCTACACTTTAAGGTTGATGTGATGTTTGCTCTCTTTTCAACAATAATCTAATATCCTCTTCGTTCATCACTAATATATTGTACAAGTCAGATTAACATATCAGACTTTGTATCCAATCAAATATCGCCACATGAAATGAAACGGCGGGAGCCGGGAGATTTGGTTAACTCATCTATAACACAATTGTATACTATTTTTTCAAGTAGCATGCAATTGAAATTAATAGCCTTGACTAGGCTTATCATTTTGAGAAGTCCAACATCAATCTACAACATCATCCTGAGGCATTTTATCAAACAATTGCCGTGCACCTTCCAAATGAGTGAATGACCCATTAATACAACATATCAACAAGTCTAGTGTCAATGAAGATATCAGATTCAAACTTTGTATTAACTATCCTCATCAATCATACCTTTATTTGAAAAGCTGAAATTTCACTGCAAGTTACCAGTACAAAGGTGAATGCTGGATTGTATTCTGCAGAATTGAACTGTGTGTGCTAAGTGCTGATTTGTTCACACCTAGTCTATAACTTGTACTTCCACAAGATGACAAGTGCCTTGGGTATATAATCAAGTAAGAGTGCAAAAATTCCATTTTTGGACCGAGTTTTGGTCGTTCATGTGCATTTCAAAAGATCAATAGGCAGTTAGTTTTTTTCTAAGTGAATTATTGGCTGAGCCAATGTGGTCAATTCAGACTAGGACAAGGACCGTATAAATCACCTTGAAATAATAATGATCAAATAAGACCACGTCTAAATGTCTAAGGACTATTTTGTCACCTTTTCTTTTATCCATATATTTGTCTGCCTCAACTCCCGCATAAAGATCAAACGAAACTATCCAAGCTACAACATTAAGAGCCCGTTTGGCCAAGCTGCCAAAACTACTTATTTTGAAAAGTACTTTTGTTCAAAAGTGATTTTCGAAAAAGTACTTTTGGAGATTAGCAGTTTGTGTTTGGCCAATTCATTTGAGAAGTACTTTTTGAGATATTTGATAAATAAATTGTGTTTGGCCAATCTTTTCAAAAAGTATTTTTGAGTGTCAAATTACGAAAAAGGACAGTAAAGATTTAGTTTACAATTAACATTATCTAAAAAAGAGAAATTTTAAATTTATTATAAAAGAATTTAATTATTTTTTATCTTTATTTAATAAAAGTATAAAACATAAAATAATATATATTGAAATTTTTAATCAATATAAAATATGAGTATATAAAAGCAATATTGGTAGGAAGATATGTGTTTACTAGTTACATGTAAGAAAAACACTATCTTTTCTTGAGAAAACGACGAATTAGGTAGTATTTCATTATGTCAACTGTATTATATGCATGCACGCCAAAAGAAACATAAATAATACTACATACCAGAGATTATATAATATTGATATACTACGAAAGAAAAAACATATCTTTTGAAGAGTGCTTGAATCTGGTGATTAGCATTGTTATTTCAAAGAGTAATAGAAGACGGGAAAAAGAAAAAAGGCAGAAGAGAAAAGAAGAGATCTATTTATAGCAGAGAGATTACTCCAAAGAGGAGTAAGAGAAGAAGAATAAAAATACACTAAAAGAAGAAAAGGATGGCAGAGAAAAAAGTAAAGGTTAAATTAATGAAGGATAATTTAGGAAATATAAATTTATGATAAGGATATTTTTTTCTTAAAATTTTTTTCTGCGTTTGCTTCTGCTTCTTGGAAGAAGATAGAATTTGTAGCTTCTTCCCTAAAGCAGAAAAACTGCTGTTGCTCAAAAGCACTTCTCTGTTTTGGCTAAGGCTGTCCAATGGGACGGGACGTCCCGTCCCGGTCCCGTCCCGCGTCCCATCCCGTCCCGCTTAATTCTAAACGGGATGGGCCCATGTTAAACGGGACACGGGATGGCCATTTCGTCCCGTTTGTCCCGTCCCATTTCGTCCCGTCTCGTCCCGTCCCGTCTCGCCTGTCCCGCCTGTCCCGTCCCATCTCGTCCCATCCTGTCCCGTCCCGTCCCGTCCCGCCTGTCCCGCATCCTATTTTTTGTGCATTATATACAAAAAACTTATAATCCTGCTTTTGAAGGTTTTCCTAAGACCACTGTTAGAAATGATGTTTTTAAATTTCAAACCGAATATCTTCAGTATATTCGTTGTGTATTGTTTCACTTAGATTGTAAAGTGTCTATCACATCTGATATAGGTCATAGTCCTAATGGTTGTGATTATTTAACTGTTACATGTCATTGGGTTGATCATCACTAGAACATACAAAAACGTATTATTGGTTATAAATTTGTTGATTCAAGATACAATGGAGCATATATTGCAACTACTGTTCTATAAATTGTTTATTTTATGGACTCATTGATAAAGTTTTAACTATCACCTTAGATAATGCTTCTGCTAAGTGCTAACACAATTACACAACTACAACAACTAGCTTAATGAAATTATTGCAAAATTAATCCAACTTATGCACCGACCATTAATGAAATGATTGCAAAATTTTAAAAGTATTTTTTCCCTATTCCCTAAGTTTATTTAATTTCTACTATACTTAACCCATCTTTAAAATTAAGAGGTGCAAATGGACTTGTTCGTAAAATTTATGAGAATTTAACATTTCAACAAAATGAACAACCATCTCTCGAAGACTGTCAAGCTAACATATATTCTTATGTTAGATCAATGTTTGATAAATATAAATCTATGAAAACACCNCGTCCCGTTTGCTAGCGGGACGGGATGGGACTACCGTTTCGTCCCGTTTGTCCCGTCCCGTTTCGTCCCGTTCCGCCACTGTCCCGGCTAAATGTCGTCCCATCCCGTCCCGTCCCGTCCCGTTAATTCTGTCCCGTCCCGTCCCATCCCGTCCCGTTGGACAGCCATAGTTTTGGCCGAACACCTCATATTTCTAAATAAGTACTTTTTTGGGAAAAAATGTACTTTTCATCTCCCAGAAACTTGGCCAAACAAACAGGCTCTAAGCTGATTTCTTTTAATGACTATTTGGATAACTTTGCTGATTTCTAGCATATGAGTAAATGGTGTAGGATTGGAAGAGTTATGCTGAGGCATTTATCGAACAATATCTATTAACCTAAATATTCTACTTTAACTATCCTCATCAATCATTCCTTCTGTTAAAAGTTAAAATTTCACTGCAAGTTACCAGTGCAAAGGTGAATGCTCGATTGGCTTCTGCAGAATAGAATTGTGCCTGCTAAGTGCTTATTTGTTTTCACCTAGTCTCTAACTTGTTGTTCCACAAGATGAGGTGCCTTGGGTATAATCAAGGTAAGAACGAGAAAATTCCATTTTTTGGAATGAGTACATGCTTTTTGGCTGTTCATGTGTGTTTCATAAGATCAGTAGACCGTTAGTTTGTTGGGCGATTATTGGCTGGGTCAATTTGGTCACTTGCAGACTAGTATTAGGACCATATCAGTCGTTTTGAAATTATAATGATCAAATAAGACCAAGTGGAGATGTCTAAGGACTACTTTGATCACCTTTTCTTTTATCCATTTGTCTGCCTCAACTCCCCCTTAAAGATTAAACAAAACGATGTGTAATAGCTTAAGGACTACTTGGATAAACTTGCTGATTTCTAGCATCTGAGTAAATGTTGTAGGATTGGAAGAGTCCTTCGGAATATCTATTGGCCTAAACTTTCTACTTTTGGTTATAAAATTGTAATAGCTGATGACCCACATGTTTGTTGAAACTCTGTCGAAACAGCTTTTGGAATATGCGACCTACCACAGGCTATTAAGGGTGATACAGATGTTTTACTGAAAGGATTGGGAGACAAGAACACCATTGAAGATGTGAAACGTATTGTTGAACTGGTACATATACATCTGCCGGACCAATCAATCTTCTCTCAATTATCATTTGCAAAGTCATGTCTAGGTTTTTCTCTTTGGTCCCTGTTGCAGAAAAAGAGCCAAAGCATTGTTCTAGGTCTTAAACCTAAACTGATTGGAGTGATTTTTGAAGAGTTTCCAAGTTCTTAATGAAGAGATAGTTCTTGATAATCACTTGTCTACTTCTCAGGCGAAACGGGCATCATTGAGACGAGAAGTTTTACATACTGACTTTCTGACCCCACCTGTTCTGAAGGAGTCAATGCTAGTCTTAGAAAGGTTAGCCGGCGTTAAGATCGTTTCACAGGGAGGATACCCAGAGGTAGGACAAAATATTTTCTAGAACTTGTTTGAGCAATAAAGCTGCTTGAGTTTATATTTTTTGTTGTTATACATAGGCTGAACGTTGCCGTCTCTCAGTTGGGCATCCAGATGCATTAACAAGTGATCCAGATATTGTCTCAGCCTTGAGGTAGGTCCTCTAGTGGTTTGTTCAGTTATATCTGATGTTTAAATCAACCAATCATAATTTCTCTTTATCATTGTAAAAGAGATCCCTTTTCCAGTATTTCAGGAAACTTTTCATTTCAACCTTGTTCTCACGGTGATTTCCTTGGTGCAATCCTTGGTACGGGGATAGTAAGGAATAAGCTGGGAGATATACTCTTGCAGGTATCTTCTTTATTTATTTTTTGAAGGTTTTCTCTTTGCGGGCACTCTAGGTTGGACAAGATTAGGGATGAGATTATTCGGGAGAAAGTGGGCGTGGCCCCTATGGAAGATAAGATGCGTGAAGCGAGGCTTAGATGGTTTGGGCATGTGAGAAAGAGAAGCCTAGATGTCCCAGTGAGGAGGTGTGAACGGCTGGCGTTGGCAGGTAGGAGAAGAGGTAGAGGGCGACCTAAGAAATACTGTGGAGAGGTAATCAGGCATGACATGGCGCGACTTCAGCTTACCGAGGACATGGCCCTTGACAGGAGGGTATGAAGGTCGAAGATTAGGGTAGAAGGGTAATAGGTCGTTGTGTGTTTTTCTGATCTGTTCCAGGTTTATTAGGGCTAGCTGACTAGTACATTGTCTTCGATTCTTAGAATGCCAGTATTAGGGTTATTTTAGTACTATCTTCCGCTTCGTTTTCTAGTACCCTGTCGTGTTACTGCTTGTGGCTATTACTTTTGCTATTGCTATTGCTACTGCTTTCTTCCATTTATTTTTCTCCGGTCCTTACATTGTTGATATCATTTTCCTGACCTTGTTGTTGTTATTTACTTGTTTCTATTCTTCCTCTCGAGTCGAGGGTCTTTCGGAAACAGCCTCTCTGCCCTCCAGGGTAGGGGTAAGGTCTGCGTACACATTACCCTCTCCAGACCCCGCTTGAGGGATCCCACTAGGTTGCTGTTGTTGTTGTCTCTCTCTCTTGCAAGTTTCCGCAACACCAAATTGATCCATCATTTGTTTGGATACAGAATAAATATCTAAAAGAATGATAGGAGTGACGGAGAGTGAAAATTTGTTGATCAAATGGAGGGCTCCTGGGAATTTAGTTGTGGGCATCACCAAAGAGAGGATTCACCTTTTTATCAGCTGATTTATTATTTAATAAAAGATGAGTTAAAACTTAAATGTGGAGCTAGTGCTTGGTTATGAAGAAAAGTTGTAGCTCAAGACTTGATCTCCTAATGAGTCCTCAATTTAATGTGGAAGTGGTGATTCAAACATCTATTATAAGATGCAGAAGTAGCACAAAGCTTGACGGGTGAAGCAACATCCAAGATAGATTGTTGAAATCTCCCTTTTATAGCAAGAACGTACTACTAAGTTATCTTAGACACAGAGAATCAGAGCACAACAAAGTATCCTGCTGGGCTACTCCGTAAAAGTAAACCGATTCCTAAAACAGAACAGCTGGTTGAGCTTCTTTAAAGACTGCTGATTCACAGTTTCAAACTAATATCACTAGATAAAAATTTCTGGCAATATCAAATTGTCACATTGGATTATCTAAAGTTTTTGAATTTTTTCTTATGAAGTTATATTTTATTCTTTACTTTCTTTGACATGTTCTGACCAATCAAAAGCCTCTAGATTTTCATGATGTTGGTCTTGTGTGTGTATTTATGTAACTGTTGTAACATATTCCACTTCCCATTTGACTAAGTATTAGGTTGTCTTGAACATCTCTTTGTGATGTTTAGGGTGAAAAGGGAGCTCATGTTCTTGTTGTTCCAGAACTTTCTGACTTCATTTTATCAGCATTGGACAAGGTAAGGATACTTTACATATTGCTTCCACTTGCAGTATCTTTTTCTCCATTCATCATCAAAGTACTTTAGTCTATTGTTCTCCATTCGTCATCAGAGTACTTTAGTCTCTGCATTCTTGAGCGCATTTCTCATGTCATTTGCATTTCTATTGGTAGTTGGATCCCTTAACCTGTAAGTTTCCCTAAGTTGAAATTGGCTGGACAATGGAAAATACCTACTCTTGGTACTCTTTCATGGGTGTGGGATAGGTTGGGAAAGTCATGCTGCAAGATGCTTGATTACTTTGCTATGTAGTATGTACAATTTTTTTTCTTTCGTCTTTTTGTATTTTCAGGAGCCTTATTATCTTTGAATTACAAAATGTTCTACACCAAATGAAAGAAAATAACTTCCTTCCTTTATGCATCTATGTGATTTTCCATTATAACTTTTTTTTGTCCCTACTTCACGCCACTTGCTTCTACCAGCCAACTAACGCTGAAATTTTCTATATTATTTGTGACTATCGTCAACTACTGTACTCACTACCAACATCCACTAGTATTACATGATATTACATTGATTTAGACAGTGATTAAGTATATGAATTTTCTGCATAGAACATCTTTTTTGGAAAAATCCAAAAGGAGCAAAAAATTTCTAGCTTTAAAAATTTGTACTGGTGTGATTAAGAGCCCGTTTGGACATAAGAATTTTTTCACTTTTTTTTGAATTTTTTTGAATTTTTTTCAAAATCATTGTTTGCCCATAAGATTTCCAATTTTCACTTGAAGATGAATTTTGGAATTTTTCAAAGATCTTAAAAACTCCAAAAAGTTATTTTTCAAAATTCACTCAGATCACTCACAAAACTTCAAAAACAACTCTAATTTTTTTCACTTTTTTTTTGGAATTTTACAATTCTTACGTCCAAACGCCCACTATGTTGTAAAGCTTTCACTTAATTTTTCTTTGTAGGTTGGAAATGTTTCTGTCTCTTGCAAGAAGATTCCATTGCTAGCCCTTGAATATGAACCACCAAGGTAGAAGATGTTACAGTAATAGTTTCTTTGGTTTCTTCTCTTCACGCGTAGAATGTTATGATTTAGGAAATTTCGTTTTTTGTTTTACTCTTTCTAGGACCAAGTCCTTAAAATCCGTTGAGGCATCACTGAGACTTGATGCCGTAGCTAGTGCAGGATTCAAAGTTTCACGAACCAAAATGGCCAGTTTGATTAGGTAATCTCCTTTCATATATTTTTTTCTTTCCAAAATATATTGCTTGTTGTGTGCTTGGCACGGTAAATGACTACATAACTGATCCTTACATTAATTCATCGTATATGAATAATTAAAATGACTATTACCTGAATTTATGATAATGATTCACGTGTGATCCATATTCAATTGTCATAGATTTGCAGATAAGCTGTCCTTTCGGTACAGTATAACCTTGAAATTCGATATATGTATTCAAATGGGCTTCTTCCATGAAATTTCTTCACCTTCTCATTCTTTCCTACACTTTTTGGGTCTTTTAACCCTATAACCAACAGATTTCGTTTTGATTTTCACCTGTGAAAGAGCAAGGTAATTTAAAAGAACTACAACCCATAATCTTTCCTAGGTTCGACATTTATGGCTATTGACATAAGGGAATCTTCCTGCAGTGATGAACATTCTCCCTTATTTCTTAACAATAAAACTCAGTTCTTGAAGGGTTAGTAACAATTTATACTTCCATTCATAAGCATGAAAATGAAGAGTTTCTTTTTATTTATGATGTATTTGCTTGCGTTGTCTGTAAGAAAGGATTTCTTTCTTCTAGAACTAGATGGTCGCTGTGCAGTGATTCATTATCTGTTTAAGGAAAGGAAACACAACCAAAGAAAAAAAATTGATTCATTTATTATAGTGGTAACAGGTCAGATGAATAAGTAACTTCTTGATGGAAGTTTGTTAATCACTTCCTAAAAAGAAATCAAAAGGAAAAGGAAAACCAGCACTGAACTGACACAACTGGTGAGAGGGTTTTAGTTTTGTGCTTGATTGTCACTTGTGTAAATAGCGCTTATATCCCCAGCTGGGGAGAGGTGGTTGTTGTAGCCTTCTAGATTTTCTCAAACAAACCTACTAGGGATCCAGGATGTTACAAGGTTGCAATTTCTCTGTAGTATCTAAGCTTGGCGGGGTGGTTGGGTGGGAGGAGAGGGGTGATATTTTGAGGTTGTTTGCTGCTGTAGCCTCACTAAGGATGTGGATAATATGTTGATTTGGTAACAGTTTCTATATGCTTACTGCTTAGACCATGTAGATGTATTTGGCCAAATACTTTGTTGCCTAAGTTGATATTATCTCACTCTTATCTTGGTGACCTTTCAGTAATGGAGATGTTCGTGTCAATTGGACAACTGTGACAAAAAGCAATACTACCATTAAGACCGGAGATATCATATCAGTTAGTGGAGAAGGCAGACTTAAGGTAAGTTATTTCTCAGAAAACTCTGCCGTCACTTTGAAAGTCGATAATCAAAGGAAACTCCCTCCCATATCCCACACACAAAACAGATCTCCCATAGACAAGAAATAAATTTTGGTTTAACTTTTATAATGCTTGTCCAATATTGAGCTAAATGTGCTCTTCTCATTGGCTCGTTTGCAAAAAAAAAAAGGGCACACCTATCTCTCCCTATGAGTTTTAAGGTTGAAAATCCATTTTTTCTTCAGACTTGGCTTAAAATGTAAATTCCCTTTTCCCCAACTATTGGAAGTATCATTTTCCAATTTTGTCACTCAACTAAGTGCTATCATTTCTAATTTCAAAGATTATCTCTGACCAACAAACAAAGCTAAAAGATAAAATGTGATTAGAGAAAAAGGTCAAGTAGTAAGCTTTGCTCTAAATTCCTGGATGCCTTACTATAATGCCAATTTTGCAATAACGGTTTTTAGATTAATTAGGTGTTGTAATTTCGAGAATCTCCACGGAATATCCACAAGATGAGTGTCGTAGAAATATGAATGTTAAGATGGATGTGGGTAATTCAAGATTAGAAATTATCACGTTCAGCTGAAGGTGCAAGTAGCACCACATAGAGGATAAATTAAGAAAAGGTCGCTTGAGATTGGTCACGTTCTACATCTACTTCCAAACACATCGGTTCATAGGTGTGAAACTATGGTAATTGAAAGTATTAAAAAAGGAAAAAAAGGCATTTAATCACGTGGAATGAAGTTGTCTCATAAGACCAAAAATCTCTTGGAATCCATGTAAACTTAGAACCAAATAGGGCACAATAGGAGAAAAAGACCAATAAAGGTGATGCCGATTAGTTATGGTTAAGANATCTCTTGGAATCCATGTAAACTTAGAACCAAATAGGGCACAATAGGAGAAAAAGACCAATAAATGTGATGCCAATTAGTTATGGTTAAGGTTTAGTTTGCTTGATGTCTTTAGTTTTGTTAGTGATGTGTGTCACACCTCTTCTTCCCACAACCCTATTACGAGATTGAGTTAGAGGAGTTTTTCCAATTAAAGTGACGTTTTGAAAAGGGATTGTATATTATTTAGAGTCGCCACTTGGAATTGAGTTTTGGTGTTCCAAGTCACCTTTTATTTGAATCCCTCATCAATGGAAGGTTTGACTCCTAATTTATGGTCTACGAAAACATAAGGCTGAGTAAGGAATTCTCTTGACCGAAGGGAAGGTGTAAGGCACTCATCGAGTCCCGTGGTTCTAGCACGGTCGCTTTTATTGACTAATGTAAGGCTTAATTATATACACCTTATGTTTTAGTAGACCATAAATTAGGAGTCAAACCTTTCATTTGATGAGGGATTCAAATAAAAGGTGACTTGGAACACCAAAACTCAATTCCAAGTGTTATAAATAATTAAGCCTTACATTAGTCAATAAAAGCGATCGTGCTAGAATCACGGGACTCGATGAGTGCCTTACACCTTCCCCTCGGTCAAGAGAATTCCTTGCTCAGCCTTATGTTTTCGTAGATCATAAATTAGGAGTCAAACCTTCCATTTGATGAGGGATTCAAATAAAAGGTGACTTGGAACACCAAAATTCAATTCCAAGTGGCGACTCTAAATAATATACAATCCCTTTTCAAAACGTCACTTTAATTGGAAAAGCTCCTCTAACTCAATCTCATAATAGGGTTGTGGGAAGAAGAGGTGTGACAACTCTGGTGACTCTGTTGGGGACAATTAATTAGAATTCGAGCTTTTTACATTGGTTCTTGTTTGACTTTTATCATATTTTGGATATTATTGTGTTTGGGAGCCTACTGTGCTGTTTATCGCTTTAATATTTATTTGAACAGTGATATAAACTGTATCCTCTCTCGCACCCCTCTGAGTCTTCTTATAGGTAGTTATGTTGTGTTTGCCTATCAGCACAAACTTTCTGTCTTGAGATAAAGCAGTTAGCCTACTAAATTCTGGTGAAGGATTTAGTCACATGTTTTAAGCGGGAGAGTCGTTAGCTAGCCAATGCTGTTCTACTACTGATGACGCTTGACGCTCCTCGGCTTGGGTTGTCCGCTCAGGTAAGCCAGATCTAGATACCATCTCCTTTAGGATTTGAAAACATAGAAGAACAAGCTACAAGCAATGGATATCCCTAGTAGGCTACGCTTTATTTGCATCATGTGCATTGGACTTAACAAAATTTGGCGCAGGAGTCAGGCCCGTCTAGGACAGGTACCAATTTTTCAGACCAACATGTTCATTTTTCTGTGCTATATGTAACATTATTTGGTTGGCTTTACTCAAATATTGACCGGCTTTAGGATGGATTAATTGAACAGAGAAGAGAGAAAGAGAAAATTTCCTCCAAGTTTTCATAACATACCCGTTTTTTTTAAAATAAAATTTTGAAGTGCTCTGGTGTATAAAATCATGATTTTCGAAGTGTTTTTTTAAATTGTTTTAACCGAACTATGCGGGTTTAATTCTCGCCACCTGGTGAGATACGTAGGCAACCTTCATCGGGTTCAACCCCATTTTTTTTTTTAAAAAAAAACAAAAAGTAAAAAAATCATTAAAAAAAAGGTGTATGAATTATTTTTTTTTAAAAACAAAATAGTAATAATTAATATAGCCACTTTGTTCAGTTTTATCTGTTTTGGCCAGTTTTGCCCTTGCGTCCGATCCTTTTTACCGAAATAGCCTTGAACACCTTCATCGGAAGTGCGAAATGACCGTTTTAACAAAAGAGGCCAATTTTTTAATTTTTTTACGTTCACTTGTTTTTACAAAAATTAGTCATTTTGAGTTTTTTATTTCATGATTATTTTACTTATTTAACCCCTATTTTTTAGTCCCATAGTTTGGCTTTTTAGTTTTTTTATAGATTCAAAACCCGAGAAATCAGAATTTTTATGTGTTAATAATATATTTGGTTAAAGCCTAACCCCGCGTCTTGCTAAACAGGTACACCATGAGTAGGGAAAGAGGTAAGTCTGAAAAGAGGCCCAGATCAGATGGATACCGGATTTTCTGATTGTCGATCAGATACCACAGTTGTTGTGGGATTGCTGGAGAGATTTTGAGGACTATGAGCAACGACAAATAAAGAAGTACCTGGGACATGTGGTTCACATGATTACGATTAAGCCAAGGAGGGATGTGATCGAAGCTTTGATTTCGCATTGGGATCCTGAGAACAATGTATTCCGTTTTACTGACTGTGAAATGACTCCGACCTTGGAGGAAATCGCCCATTTCTAGGGGTGGGGCCGCAATCTTCGCCTCCAAAGGCCTATAGTACCAAACAATGTGAATGAGGGTAGGTTTCTGAAGCTCTTGAACATAAATTATGGACGGTATGAAGGTTTAGGAGGCAAGTGGGTTATGTTGGGGTTTCTGTTTTACTTGTATGGCCTAGAATGCAATTTCGAAAGAAATGTGGGAAGATTGAAACCTAGGAAGATAAAGAAGCATGGAAGGTACACAGAAGGTTCGTATTTATGGTTGCTTTTTTGGAGCGTGTAGTTTTCCCGAGAAAGGAAGGATGCATTGATATCCGCTTGGCACGCGTAGTTCAGGCATTGACCTCAAAAGGGGATGATTATACTTTGGTTCATATGATTATTTCTTGCATTTTTCATGCTTTAACTAGGTGTTGATTGCGCGCACGAAACTTTGATTGCTGCAATATTTTGTTACAGATATGGTTTTTGGAGCATTTCTATCGTCATCCTACGATCACTACCTTTAGTGAGCTATGGTCCAATCACACTGATGATCACCAGAAAAGAATTGACGATTGTGATTTACCAAAAGGGATTGACGCCGGGAAAGAACTACTTGTTACTCTGTTCGCCAAGCGAATCACTTGGAACTACCATTGACTTTCTTCTAAAGAGGTCGTTGGTTAGTCTGTATTCCATTCTTTTTTGGTACTCATAGGGTTAGATGGTGTTCAGCCCTATGCTTCACTTCGGGTAATGCGCCAATTTGCACGACTACAGGAGGTACCACCAACACGAGATATGGGCAAGTTCTGTTATGATTTTGGTGAAGAGCAGCCTTATGACGAAGAAGAAATTATGTAAATTTGGTATGCAAGTAAAGTCTCGGAGTTGAATGAGATGGTAGAAGACCGGAATCGTGGAAAGGTAGTACCTGAATATATTACGTGGTTTCATGACCTTCATTGTTTAGAGATAGGCCTGGGGGTCCAACAGGAGGAGAAATGATCAAAGAATTATAGAAAGGCTAAAGGAGGAATTTGAGCATGCCCGGATGACCATAGCCCAACAACAAGCCCAACAGCAAGCCGGAGTCACTCAAATTCGCTTGAATATTAAGAAAGATTATCAATCTTCTTTACGGGTCATGGATAAAGATCTAAAGCATTCTAAAAACGAGGTGGCCCGGTCAGAAGAAGAATTGGCAGACACGATTGGTTTAGTCGGAGGAGTTGAGGCAAACAAAAATGCTGAAATACATAAACTGCAAGAAGACTTGAGTATCGTTGAAGAAGACGCGCACCAACAACAATTGGAGTTTGATCAGCAGAAAGAGCAGTTTGAAAGAGAAAGGGCCCATTGGATACGCTCAAAAGGTCAGCTTCACGCACAATTGGAAGAGATGAAAAGTCAGAACATGGCTCATTAGCATGCAGATTTTGAGGCAGAGCGGCGCATGTGGATGATTGAGAGAGGTGTGCTAAACCATCGTATTGAAGAATACGAGGGACGTGAGGCCTCAGATGGGACACACCCCTCAACACTACTCAGATATGGTTGCAGAATTGTCACGTAAATATGGGGCAAGGCAGAGAGCAAGTACTTCGATTGGCGGAGAAAGCGACATATATTCATGATGATCATCATCATCTAAACAATGAGAAAGTTGGTCAACATGCACGTGCCTTCGTTCTACAGTTGCCGGCAGTGTTCCAGAATTTGTACGAGACTTTGGGGGAGAGTGAAGGCCAAGGTCCCCTGAAGCAGACC